GTAATCTCAGCTGCTCAGGATTGCAAATTTGAGGCCAGTCTGACCCTGTCTCAAAATAAAAAGGGCTGGGGCTGTAGCTCAGTGTTCCCTGGGTCAATCCCCAGTACAGGGGGCAGGGGCACCACTGGGGCTGTGCTTCTTCTGGAGGCTCTAGGGGACAATCTACTTCCAGCCTGCTCAGCCTGATTTCCATCATCACTGGCCCTTACAGAAATGCTCATCCCAGCAAAGCTCATCTGCCTCCTGGCCCGTACCCAACAGCCCTGAGAGTGCCACTCTTGGTCGTCTGAGACACTGACGCCAAGATGGGATTCCACGAGCAGGAACTTTGTTGGGAAAAATGGCTGTGAGCAAAAGTACAAGGGAGAAGGGAGGCTGGAAAGCCCTGAAGGCCGGAGCAGGGGACAGGGAAGGAGGTGATTTAGCCCTAGGGGAGCCCCAGGGAATGCAAGTCAGCCTGTCTGGACTTCAAAGGAAACTGCCTCAGGGCCACACATTGCGTCCCAAGATGCCAATGCAACGCCTTGGCCCAGCAGCCCAGGCCGGGTGCTCAGAGATCTGACCAGCACATTCCCATGGTTGCCAAACCGGGGCTTCATGGCAGTTTGCTGTTAGGGTGAGTGAGATGCTGAGCGTCGGCGCCAGGCACCAGATAATGGAAAGGATCAGTAAATTGGAACACGCTGACCTGCATGCCTGTGGATCGGCCAGCCATCTCCCTGCTGTTCTCTGTCTCCGTCAGCCCTGGGCCGTTCTCTCCAGGAAGCAAGTGTTAGAACCAACCAAGCCATACGTACGGACTACATTCAGGGTGTTCAGAGAAAAGAATGCAAGGAGAGTGATACAGGAGACGTCTGCAGGGGTCTAATAAGTCTGGGCTTAATCCTGAGGCAATAGGGAGCCACAGAGTACTCTAGGGTAGCGTAAGCAGGGAATGAGTGATTCCACCTGATTTTCACCTGGGAAAATTCAAGGTGTGCTGAAGGAGGGCTAGAAGGGAGGAGGAGTGGAGGCAGTGGGCAGGAAGAATGATACCAGGGGCTTTACTCTGGAGGGACAGTGGCAGAGGACAGAAGCAGACCCATCTGAAGGACCTTAAGGAGGTAGAGTTTATGGACATGGTGAGCAACTTCCTGTAGGGGTAGTGTAGAGATAAGAATGGGGGCAGGAGCAGAAGTATCTGGAGTTCCTCCCCTCACCTTTCCCAAGGGGTTTTATGTCCACCACTTCTCACAGCCCCACCCTCCCGCTAAGCCTTTCCTGAAGTCACACAGGGAGTTCGGGGTGGAATCCAAGCCGGTTGCTCTCTGACACCGACCCACACTTGGGCCTCTTCTTGGTGCTAACTACAGTCTTAACTCTGAATTTACTGCGCGGCATCTGAGGTCGCCCCACTGCCAGACCTATGCTCTAGGAGGGCAGGGACTGTTTCTCCTTTTGCCTATGGGGTTCTGAAAATGCATTTATGGAGTGAGGTCAAAATGCATGTAGGGAATGGATGAAGGAAAGAACCAGTCCTATGAGTGTTTCCCAGAGGAGGGCAGGGCTTCAGTCTGGACACTGACACTTAACTAGCTGTGATTCATCCCTCTAAAGTATGCCTACTTTTTGTTTGTTTGTGAGCTAAATTCTTGCTGTGTAATCCAGGCTGGCCTTAACCTGCCGTGTAGCCCTTGAACTCATCATGTAGCCCTCATCCTCCCAATCCTTCTGCCCCAGCCTCCAGAGTGCTGGGATTATAGATGTGCACCACTATGCACGTCTGTAAAGTATTACTTTTTAACGTTCATAGGTTTAAAGTCAGATATCCTTTCATCTAATAAACACAAATCCCTGTTCAGTAATTCTCCTAAAACAACATGGCAAGCGTTTAAACATAAGCACAAAGACGTTTATTTCAATATTTGGGTTTTTTTTTGTTTTTTGTTTTTTTGTTTTCTTTTGTCTTTTTTGAGACAGGGTCTCCATATGCAGTTCAAGCTGGCCTTGAGCTCACTTTGTAGCCCAGGCTGGTCTCAAACTCGCAATGATCTTCCTGCCTCAGCCTCCCGAGTGCTGGGATTACAGGCATGCACCACCACACCCAGTTTATTTCAATATTTGTTAAAAAATCCCAACAAAACAGTAAATCTCTAACATGAACAGATTTGTTGAATAAATTATGGTGCATCTAGAGGAGAATAAGCCATTAAAATAATGTTTTTGATAGATATTCTATGATGGTAGAATACAATGTAATTTTTGGGCAAATAATCTAGATTCATAAACACTTAACTAGAAAGATACACCCTACATTGTTCCTAATGTTTATATCCAGTTCCTAATGTTTATATCCAGGTTTTTATTTACTTCTTAGGATTGTTTTCCTCCGACTGTTCTGCAAGAAGCTTCTATTATTTCATAATAAATGAAAACAACCTTTTATTTTTTAGGGAGAGTTAGCAATGCCAAAGGCCGCCCTAGGGTCAGATTAGCTGGGCTCTACTTAGAGAGCGGTCATAGCAAAAAGAAAGCAGCTGGAAGCCACATAAGTAAGAGAACTTTTCGGGAAGGTAGAGCCATCATCAGCAAAAAAGGAGTAGTCATGGTCTTAAAAAGTCATTTCTCAATAATGTTGTGAGGATCAAGTGGGTGGGGAAAGATGAAATATGTGAGCAAACATATTTGTTTTTTTTATTTTAAAGATAAAAGGAGGGAAACATTAACAGACATACAACATTTTACAACATATCACAAGCACAATACAGACAATACAGAGTTACAAACAAAGTGGT